TAAAAAAAAAAAAAAAAAAAAAAAAAAGGAAAATGTATAAAAATTAAACAAGCTATGCTTTGACTTTTGTTGGCCTGTCGTTGAGTCCTCTTTTCTGCGTCCAGCTGAGGGGCGGGGACATGGAGACCCGGAGCACTTGGGGCACGGGCAGCTCCTCCACATGGCCACGGGCGCCCCAGGGGACGTCGCCCAAGGCCGGGGACCTGCGTGGCTGTCAGAGCGACGCTGAGGGCCCCTCAGTACTCCCAGGGAGCTTCCCCGCCCCACCAAGGATTGGATCAGTGGACCCCACAGTCTCTCACACCGGGGCCTCGTGACCTCGCCTCCTCCCGCTGCAGGAAGGACCTGGCCCGGTCCAGTGTAGAACCCCTTCCCAGTCATTTCACAAGGGTGGCCTGAGCATCTGCCAGAAGTGGTACCAGGCCCTGGGACAGCACAGGGGAGAAGACACCCAATGGCCTGCCTCTGGGGCTGATGACTTCTGTCAAGGCAGGCTGGACAGTGATAATAAAAACAAGCGGCGTTTAGACAGAGGCTTGAGTGAAGGGGTGCAGTGAGCGCCCGGAATATCTGCGCGGAGTGTGTTCCAGGCAGAGGCACAGCTGTGCAAAGGCCCTGGGGCAGCATGGAGTCTGGTGTGGCACAGGAACTGCGAGGAGCCTGTGTGGCTGGGGCAGAGAGGGAGGAGGGGAGGCAGGGTGAGGACAGGTGGCCATGCAGTGCCCTGTGGGTTGCAGGGAGGGCATGGGCTTTGGTCCTAAGGGAGGTGGGAGCCAAGGAGGGAGGGGTCCTAGCTACACCTCCTCTTCCTTCTCCCTCTTCCTCCTCCTCCAGGAATCTTTCCCCGCCCTCTCAGCAGACCTGCTGCTGACCTTCTGAGCACCATCTCCCCATTGTGTCCCGGTCCACTCAGAATTAGACATGTGCAGGCCGGCTGCCTTCTCCAGCCAGGGCAGGTGCATGGGTGGGTGGTGAGTAGCTGGGGACGAGGAGGGAGGCCACAAGGTTGGATCGGGCGCCTCTTGTGTTCTTGGATGGGGTCCATCCTGCCCACCGGGCCAGTTCTCCCAGCAACCCACAAGATAGCTCAGGATGGACAAGCAGAGTTCTCTGCTGCCCAGGGGCTGCTCCCATCCTACCTACAAAACCACAAGGCAGGGACCATTCCGCCCTTTCCTGCAGATAGGTAAACTGAGGCGGAAAGGAGGCAAGATCCGCTGATTGGCCCCAGGCCCCCTATGACCATGTGACAGGGCACCGCCCAGTGACAGCCGCAGAAGACGCTCTCTCGGGATGGCGTGGGTGGCGCCAGAGTCACCGTTCCTGCCCTCTCCCAGCAGCCGCAGGGCTGGGCCCTGCTGCTCTGAGCGGCGAGGTTCTGGCGCCCTCTTGTGGTCAGATGGCAGACGCTAGCTCGGAAACCGAATCCACGGAGGAGGGGGCGGGGCGGGGTAGCTCCTCCTCCTCTTCCCCAGCGCCTTCAGCCACTGGAGCGGGAGAGGTCAGCCGGGTCGGGGCTGGGCCCGTTATCCAGGTAGAGGCGGATAGATGCGTGCATGGGTGGTTGGAGGAAGGGGTGGGCGGGTGGCCCGGTGGAGACACAGACACGAGGATGGCGGGGTGGAGGGATGGGTTGGTGGGTGGCGGTGACAGGAACGCGTGGACGGACGCGTGGCTGGGTGGCTGGGTGGACCGGTGGGTGGCAGAGAGTGGCGGGTAGTAAGTACGAGTGGGTGGGCAGATCAGGGAGGGTTAAGTGGAGAGGAGCTTCGGTACAGAGGGGAAGGGTGAGGGCCCGGAGGGTTAGCTCGGTGGTGCCGCCGCCGCCTGCCGCGCAAGCGCAAGGTCCGGAGTTCCATCTCCGGTACCAAAAAATGAAAGAAAGAGGGACGGATGAAAAAAGAAGGGCGGTAAGAGGAAGGGATGGGTGGATGGATAAACAGGTCAAGGTAAGTGGGCGGGCGATAAGGACCTCGCAAACCCCACTCGAAACGCATTAGGGATGGGGGTCAGGGTAAGGTGCGAGCCCCCCACGCCCTCCCAGTTTGTAGCCCGGAAAGTCGGGTCTCAGGAGGAATGGGGTCCCCTGTGTCACAGACTCCCTGCACTAGGTGGCGTGCAGCGACACAGAAAGGAGAAGCAAATTCTTTTGGGGTCGCCGAGGGTGGGGTGGGGAGCAGAGAGTTGGGCCAGGCAGCAAGGTTGGGGTCCTTTCCCCTGCCCCAATATCTTACAAGGTTGGGCCTGGCCAAGGGTTCAAAAATGAGGCCTGGCCAGTGCCCCGGGATCTGTCTGTTGGGGCCCATCCGTCCCTGTCCCTGTCCAGCCAGTCGTGGGACACAGCACTAGGCTTTGTAATCACTATAAGCCCTGGTTTTTTCCCCCCCTTCCAGACTTGGCCTCCCTCTGTAGCCCAGGCTGGCCTCGAACTCGCAGCGATCTTCCCGCCTCAGTCTCCTGAGTGCTGGGATCACAGCCGCGCTCATTATGCCCAGCTCAGGTGGGAGCGCAGAGCGTCAGGGTGGCTGACCCGGTCCCTCTCATTATCTGGGCCTCTTCCGCCCCCTGGTGGGCGATCCTGGAGGTGTCGCAGACAAAGCTCTCAGCCCCAGCAACCGCCCGCCCGCCCGCCCCTATCAAGGTCCTCATTAAGGAATGGTTTGTCCCGGGCAAAGTCCAGGGCCTGGAGAAAATAGGGAGAAGAAAAACGGGGAGGCCAAAGGTGGGCCTTTCTGGGATTTGACAGGGCCCTGGGGCACCACCCCACCCTCCAAGCTCCCTGGACCAGTGACGTGCCCCCCCGCCAAAACCTGAGGGGGCCGAGCAAGCAAGGATTCCCCAGGGGATGGGGCTCAAAGTCCAGGGCTCAGAGCAGCAAAACAAGATGAGCACCACGAGTGCACAATGTGCCCAGCCTGGCAACCTGGGCAGTGCAAAGTGTGAGCCTTCCTCCTGGCCAGGCATCGCCGACCGCTGGCGGCTGCCACCAGGGCGAAGCTGAGCACTGAAAGATACAACAGGAGCCCTTCCAAAAAGCTCCCATTGTGGAGTGTGGTGCTGCACACTTTTCATCCAACCACCCGGGAGGCTGAGGCAGGAGGGTCACTGAGAGTTCAAGGGCAGCCTGGACTACATGGCCAGACCTTGTTCCTCGCCGCCCCCGCAAAAAATGCTGAATAAATAAAGAGCTCAGGCTGATTTTTTTACTGGGGCCCTCAACAGTGAGACTTTGGCCGATGTGGCCCTAAGGCTGCACGAGGCAGGCACCTTCTCGCCAAAAGGGATCATGCAGAGGGAAAATGAATCTGGCCGAGCTAAACTGTGGGGACCGGCAGCTCCTTCAGGCAGGGTTGCTCTCCCAGCAGAACCACCAGCAGGACCAGGTCCCAGAGAACCCTGCCCTGAGGGCTCCAAAATCGGACCCCACTTGGCACTGCTGCCTCCAAGCTTGGGGTGCTGCTCCCTGGGTGAGAAAGGACGCCTTCACATGCTGGTCTTGATCTCATAGTCTGCGGGTTCTTTCTCTTCCAGCTCCAATCCCAAATTGCGCTCTCCTTCTTTCTTTTTATTCTCCTTCTTGCTTTCTTTCCTGCAGGGACACAGGCCCCAGGCCGTAACACACGTAGTCGCTTCTACTGCGTGGGCGGAGAGGCCGCCGAGAGTCCTGCCCACAAAGGCAGAGGACTACAGAGCGGATGGGCGGGCAGGTGGAGAGATGGACGGGCCGGAGAGAGCCCAGTTAGCAGTGCCGATGGGCTCCGGTCCTCGGCTCATCTGGGGAGCAGGAACCCACTTCACCCGGGCTGAGCAGGACCTTCAAGCCCCCCCCCAGCACAGCTCAGCCTCCACTGCAAGTCCCAGGCGGGCCTTGTCCCAGCCCTACCTTTCTCCTCCGTCCAAGCTTTGGGCTGCAGCAGAACCCCCAGCCGTGACCGCACCCCCAGGTCCTCCCTGCGTCCTCAGCAGACACAGAGAAGGAGAGAGCCTGCCCCGCGCCACGGTCTTGTCCAGGGGGTACCGAGGGCCCACTGTGCCCCAACCAAGCTAGTGCTTGCATGCTGGAAGCCCCTATCTAGTGCGTGGACGTCCGTGAGTAACTAGGCACATTTCAGCTGGTGGCTAAGTGTGAAGAAAAGATGTGGGTCTGGTGCCAGGGAAGGAAGGCTGCTGGGCAGAGAGGCCCTCTGTGGGGACCAAAGTCCTAAGCAGAGCCTGAAGGAGGAGAAGGAGCCAGCCAGAAGGCAGAGTGAAAAGAAAGGGGTAATCAGTGGGAACCGCACGTGCAAAGGTCCGGGGGCAGACCAGCATTGGAGGTGATGGGAGTCAGCAACAGGTCATCTGTGCAACCCACCCCCCATCATAAAGAAGGGGCCCCTCAGTCCCCTGACACCATACGTATCTACACGTAATCAGATGGACAGTACCTCGGGCCCATGGTCTCGTAAGGGTTGGGCTGTATTCTCATGGTGGTCTCCTCATCCTCGGCTCTGCAGATGGAGACAGGGCCATGAGACTGGGGAAAGGGCAAGGAGGTAAGCATAGGCCGGGCCTCGGTTTACCCCACAGGTGCTCATGAACTCCGGAAAGCAGGGTGGGCTGCCTGGCTCTTGGACAGGTGCGGGCCCAAGGTATAAGAAGGAGCAGGAAAAGGAGCTGACCTTTGGCAGGGGTGACCCAGGAAGGAAGAGGGGGCGGCCTGGATGGGACGGGAGCAGGGCTTCCGGTGGAGCGGGGTCCCCACCTGGCTTTGGAGCACCAGATGCGGTTGGCCAACAAGAGCACGAAGACGATGAACAGGAACACCACGACCGCCGTCAGGCCCACCAGCCACGGTTTCAGGTGACGTTCTGTGGCTGCCAAGGGTGGGGTGGGGCTCAGAGATAGGGGAGAGGGACAAGGGTCCTGGGGAGACCCAGGACGGAGAGCGAGACCTCAGAGACTCCCTAGAGAGAAGGGGTCTTGGTTTGGGGAGCTTGGAGAAGGTGGGGCTTATAAAGGAGGCGGGGATCCGAAGGGCGGGGCCTAGAGGGCCTGACTTACAAAGGAAGGGCACAGAGGGGCTGGGGGAAGGGTTAGGGAGGGGCTTGTAAAGGAGGCGGGGCCGAGA